AAAATATTCGAAAAAGTCATAAAGTAAGGTTCATGAAACTTGGCCGTTGTGTGTCCAATTATAGATCAGACACATCCGTTCAGTTTGTATAGAGTGGTTTGACGAGTTCGAGTACTTAGTATACAACAATTAAAGCTAGGTATTTCAAATTTTAAATTAAGATGCCAAAGTGTAGGGTATAATTCGGTTGGTTTATACCGACTAAAACGTTTTTTCTTGTTTAATTTAAATTGGCACAATTTCTTTTTAATTAATTTATAATTGGCACAATTTCTTTTAAGATTTACACACTTGATTAAAAACATTATTATTTTGGTGATTAATCACGTATTTGCATAACATGAGTATAGTCACAAACAAAGAAACTTTACAAATAAGTAAAGCCAATGGAAACTCTATGGAAAATCTATGTCGTATGCCATTTTAATGGCCAGCGAAAGCTTTTTCCTATATGTAATTTTCTTCCTAAAGCTATTAGCAACTTTTAATGGTGTTCTTCGCACATCTGGTATTACCTGTGATATTAGCATTCCAAATTATATAAAAATAGACATTGATTTATTTTGCATGCCTATTAATTAAATAGGTGCTTTTAAAATATTAATTTAGAAAAAAATTGTACATGACCGGCTCTTTGAATTTTATAAGAGAACTTAAAATTATTAATTACATGGTCCATGAGGCAAATTGGTCCTAATCACAAATTGTCGATTTTGAGATAATTTCATGAAACTATTAGCAAATATATTACTTCATATAAAACTGCTCATTTAAGGCAAACAAAATTATTAACTTTTATTTGCTTCTAAAATCAGATTAGACTTAGACCAGTTTGCTTCGTTGTTTATTTTTATTTTCTGATTCCAATATAAATTTATTTAATATTGAATTTTTATATGTGCTATTAAATTAAGATTTCTTTAAAGTTTTTCCAATATTGTCCATATGAGAAATCAATTTTTGGAGATCGTATTAAAATGCTTTCACTTGCCAAATAAAGTAGTTTTTTAGTTGTAAATTAAATTCTTGTGACTTTAAAAATTATTTGTGCAGTTTCAGTATTTCAAGTTTTATGCTAGATAGTTAGTAATAAGAAACTAAAATAGCACTGTTCATTTACTATTACTTATTTTCAATATTATGTCTTGATCTCCCAATTCAACACACAATTAATTGCCATGGTCTGGCATTATTTCTACATTATTTATAGTTTTGATTGTTCGATTTTTAAACACTTTTTTTTTTTAAAATAAATTCTTTGTGATAATAGAAGCTAAGTGATAATAGTTTACCGCCCATGAACATAAAGTTTGTCGCACCTGCAGCACAATATTTTAAATATTTGCATTAGAAAAATTTTAATTTTAAAAATTTATTAATATTTGCAAATATTTTGCTCTTTCTAGGTTGCTTATTATTGAAACATTGTGAGCTTCAAAAGAGTTTTGTTTTTTATACAAACAGAAGGACTAAACATTTTTCATAATATTCGCTAGTACTACGTTAGAAAGACTGAAAGATGCTAAAAAATTTACAAAAATACAAATCAAAAACTCGACAAAACCAAGTCCAAATTTTATAGAATTGAAATTTTTACCTTATTTGCAACGTTAATCCATTGATGTAGTTTACAATTCTTTTATATGAACATTTATATTACTTTATATTCATAAAATTACGATATAGGTGGCTTTATTGTTCTTTGTAAATGTAAATTTGGCCCACAAATTCTATTAATGTTTATATTTAAAGTCACTTACACATTTTACTTATAATTCATTATTAATGTGAAATTGTAAAATTTAATTTATTTTTTAATTTAATTTTATAATATTTAAATTTAAAAATTATTCTCATATTTGTTTTTCCATTTAAATTGTCCAAATAATTTTATCAATATCATTTCAACTGTTTTCAACTATTATAATATAGAAGCTACTTGTTTTACTGTTTTTCTTTAGTTTGTAATTTAGCTTTAACTTTTCAGTCACACTAAATAAAATTTAAATAAAAAATTCCTTTTTTCTTTTTAATTATTTAATTAATATCCAAATAAAACACAATTTGCAATTACAATATAAATGTAATTATTATTCGTATGTATAGCATACCTTTAATTGTAGGTGCATGTAAAATTTTCCATAATAAAAATATAATAGTATAACACTGTAAATATAAAATGAACAATATAATGTACAAGTGTATGTGTGATAAAAACACAATATTTAAGAAAGATTAAAACAAAAATTTTTTTTTTTGGTTTTTTGTATATGAAAATGTTAAATATCAAATTCTCTCTTAAATGACTTGAACCGAATGAACTGAACACAAAATATTTTCCAAAAAAGAAAATCTTCTTATCATGGAAAAAGAAACTACAAAAAAAAAATAATCAAAACAAAAAATCAAAAATTTTTTTTCATTTTCTTTTTGCTTTTTCTTTTTTACCGTTCAAAAAAAAATTGTCTAATCAAGAATGTGTACTTTATTTTTCAACAAAAAAAAACAAACAAACAAACAAAAGCTAAGTTATCCTTGTTACAGTTCAAAGTAACTAACAAAAAAAAAAAAGATGTACGGTCTTTCCATCAGGCTCAATGTTTTTGATTATTTTGTTAATGTTAACCTATATACAAGGTATGTGTGCATGTTTGTATATATATATATATATAACACCTCAGTATATATTGATTAAATTCCAACAAGTTCAAAATATTTTTTTTATTATTTTGTGTTTTCTTCCCGTTTCTTGTCCTTTTTTATTTTTTATATTATAATTTTATTTTATTTTATTTTATGTATATGTGAAACTGAATAAATTATTACCATAAATTTATAATACACATTGAATGTACATACATATATGTATGTTTGTATATGACACGAAAATAACCATCATCACATCATTCTAGACCCATTATTACATATTATACTTATATACACATATGTATGAATATTTATAAGCGCCGCACTTAAAGTACATACTTATATATATTAAAAAAACAAAAGAACCATGAAATTATCGGGATAGACTTTGAAATTGACGGCTTAATACCATACTTCATTAATAATTTTGTATATGAGATTTTTATATGGGTACGTATACATGTATGTATGTATATAAGAAATTAAAAAATGAATATGTATTAGATTAGGGCATACCGATTATATTTTTCATTATTACTTTAGAATATAATAGACTATATATGTATTAGCAAAAAAAAAAAAAATGAAGGAAAATGAAAAAAATCTTAAATAATAAAAGAAAAATTTTAATTTTAAAAATAAAAAAAAAATCAGCAAAAAATTAAAAAATTTAATTACATATACGAAAATGCTAAAATCATTGCCTACATAAATGTAAAAGAGAGACAGAAAATATTTAGAGAGACAGATAGGAGATTTTAAGGCAAAAAAGAGAAAAATAATAAAAATGAGAAAAAAACGAGAAAATTAATATTTATTTTCTTTTTTATTATTATTTTTATTGCTTTTTTTGTAAATTTTTATTATTATATAATTTTATATATATATATATATATACAAATTTATTTTTATCTCAAATAAATTAAAATCCATATTGTGTTTTGTTGTGTCAGCTTCCATTGGCAACAATAATAATATCAGAAATATAGAAAATAAAAACAAAAATGAAGAAAAATGAATTAAGGGAAGAAAACAAAAAATGAAAAATAAGAATAAAATATACAGGATAAACAAATAAAAGGACTCTTTTAACTCCGCCCATTTTTTGTATTTCAATAATGATAATAGTCATTGCTATTGGTTGATATACAAGGATATTACATCCTTAAATTTAATTTTCTATACATTTTTTTTGTTTGCTTTTTTGCCAATTTCGTTTTGTATTCTATGTATATTTTTTTTTTGTTTGTTATTCTTTTTTATTGTTTTCACTTCCATATTATACAATAAATGAATTTTATTTCTTATTATTGAATTAAGCTTATCATTTTATTTCATAGCCAGCAACAAATCGGTATTATATGGCAAAAAGGATCATCATTTTTGTTGATTACTAATTGAATTAGTTTTTGTATTTCGAAAACCATAATATTTTTTTTAGTGATTTCAAATATTTAGAGTGTTATAAAATAAAATACAGTGATAGGAAACACAGGAAAAAAAGAAGAAAAAAAAAACAAAATAATAAGAAAATAAATATATATATAAAAATAAAAATAAGAAAAAAATCAGAAAGAAAGGAAAATTTAAGGATATAAACAAAAACAACAAAAATAATAAAATAATAATAATAAATATTAAAGATAAAACAAAGAAAAATAAAGAGAAAAAAAAATTATTTTTTTGTTTTGGGTTTTTTTGTTCTATTGTGAATTTTGAAAATAATAAAAAAAATCAAAAATTATGTATTTTAAATATTATAATATTAATAACGGTATTAAATCATAGCAATAAAATTTATAATAATATTAAAAAATAAAGGAAAATAAATTTATATTCGGATTTGAAAATTAATATTTTTCTCTCGTCTCTGTCTCTCTTATATACTTATATACATAAACAGATATTGTATACGTTCTTTTTCCTTTTGGACTCTATACTATAATACTATATATATAGTATACTAATACAGAGATCATTCTGAAATTCTTACATAATTATTCAAATATGAAAATTATATTTTCAACATTAATTTTTATATACCTACGTACATACATATATAACTACACAATATTAAATTTAATTAATTAAAAATATAAATAAAGAAATAAAAGCAAAAAATATAGAAGAAAAATAGAAAAAAAAATATATAAAAATAAAAAAGAGTGTTTTGCTGTGATAGTGTTTTATTTAATTATTTATTTATATAAAAATAAAAAAATAAAATAAATATAAAAAATTAATAATTTATTTTAAATATTTTATATATACATACACACATATAATATACGAAAAAAAAAAAATTAAAATTTTGTTTGAAATTTTTTATAATTTTTTTTTATTTTTAATTTATAATGGAATACTCATATTTAAATCAAAGTGTATTCGATACAAATTATTTACAATCGAGTATCGATTCAAATACATTAAATAATATACCAATATCATATGGTGAATTAACAACACCATCATGTGGTCAATTATCACAAGTTGCATATAGATATTCCCAATCTGTACAAGGTACATCTGGTTTAACAACAAAATCACCATATAATCATCATCATTTAGGGCATTTAACATCAAATAATACAACAAATGAACAGCCAACATCATCATCGACATCATCATCGATAGCATCATCATCATTATTACCAGCAATTAATACAAATCATCAAAATTTAACAAATAATCCATCACAGTGCCTAACTGGACGTAATGTAACAGCAGCAAATGCTGCTGTTGCTGCTGCTGCTGCTGTTAATCAACATGTTCATAGATCACAAATGTTTCAAGCATCATTAAATTTACAAGGTATATATATATATATAAATCAAATATTTTTATACTCATAAATAATTTTATAATTTTATATTAAAAATTTAAAATAAATGAGATAAATTAATTTATTGGAAATATATTTTTTTATAATAATATTAAAAATTCGACACGTGTACTCTATTCAATGGCATCTTAATTGATTGATGTTTATTTATATATATATATATTTATATATATGCGCGATAATTATGTGGGAAAATGTGTTAAGAGCAAAGAATAAACAAGAACTTTTGGTAGCTTAAAATGGCTATGTTAATAAAGTTTCAAAATTTTAAATGACGATGTCCTAAATTTTCATTTAAAATCCGTCTTCAATGTAAAAATTAAAGATTTATTGTTTGCCTAAACTATTTTTAGAATTAAATAAATAAATTGAAATTAAAATTTCACTAATAAAAAGTATGAAAGATGGAAAACACGGATATCGTCATTTGTTGCCTGTATTGGAAATTATAATTATAATCTCTAGTATACTGAACACTAGATAATCATAAAAAAGAAGATATCCTTAAGGAAATAACTTTGAGCTCACATATTTTATAGTAAATTTTTAATATTTTGAGATTGTAGCCGAAAATATTTCACTTTAATTTGAAAGAAACATAAGAGAAACCACACCAATAATATGAAATATTTTATTTCTAAGAAATCAAATCTTCGCAAATTGAGCGCACAGTTTATTTCTACACTCTAGTTTCTTGTTATGTATGTAGTATCTGGCAACCCTAAAATATTATAATAAAACCAATTTATGATTTTATAATTCTATTACCTAAACGCAGAAAATGTTAAAAAGTCAGTCTTGAAACAGTTTGAGATCATTCGAGAAGAATCACGCTAAGAATTAAGAATAAGCAAAGATTAATTCTAATTTTTATTAAATCAATTAATAAAAATTAGAAGCAAAAAATTAAATTTGAGCAAGTTTAAAATAAGTTTTAGAATTTACTAAAGTTTAGAATAAAGATTTTTCTCGTTACGAATATAAGAATAAATTTTGTTTAGTTTATTTTCGAATGACAATAGCTCTTAATGTCCTCTTCCATATATGATGTTTTATTCATAGCACCCATTTAAAATTATTTGAGAAAAAACTTAAAATTAATATCTGCCATAGGTGCTATTTTACTTAAATTTCATGACATAAATTCCTTAAACTTCGATTGCAAATATTTGTAATCTCTTTTTTACAATTCCGTATTAGAAAATAATGAAAAATCATGCATAATATCCTAATATATAATAGAACTTAAAATAATTAAGGCTTACGTGTAGAATATTTGAAATAAATTAACGTTAAGAAAGCTAAATTCAAATTAATACTAAATCTACAAAAAAAGCAAACCTTTCGATCTTTTCTTTGGTGCGTTATCAAATTTGATATAGTTTCTGATAAATCGGCTTTTAAATATTATATAAACTGCATTGTATACTTATATCGCTGGGCAAGTGCCGCTTTTTTTCTACAATTTCTAGCATTTCCAAAATATTTTTAGTTACAAGAAACTATTCAGAAATTTTATTAAAAAAACTATTTTAAAAGTTTAGCATTTTACAAAAATTCAATAATTAAATTCTTGTGGAAAATTTAGAGGAAATATCAAATTCAGAGAAATCATGCCACGATCTGCCTCTACACAAAAAAAATAATTGTAGGAATTGGAAATTAAGACATGACGATTTTCTTTCATTTTTGTTTTTTTTTGCGGAAATAGAAATTAATTTAATTTTTATAATGCATTGAAAATTTCATTAAATTGATTGGATGTAAAACAGGTGTTTCGTACAATCATTTTGGACTATTTTGCAGAATGTGCCGATATTTGAATTATGGCAAACGGTTTCCGATTTAATCTATGATTTGTAAAGTACCATGCTAACTCTTAACAATTTAAGTCTAAAACTTGTATTTATTTATCTTTAGCTCTAACCGATAAATTTAGTATGCATGTAAGAATTTGAATAATTCCCTTTTTACTATAATTATAATTTTATATTTAAAAAATCTTAGAGCATTAAGTTTCAAAAAAAACCATCCTAATATAAAGCTTGAATTGTGTTGTTATTTAATATATGTAGTTAGGGTGGAAGATCTTTACACTATAACAATATACTTGAACGCAAGTCCGGTAAAGCTTAAATGGCAAAGAAGTAAAATATCGAAAAATGACCTGTTACAAGTTTTGAATAGTAGTAAATTGGGAGCTCGCGTTCTATCGCCGAAAAATTTTCATTTGGTGGTCACGGACTCTTAGTAAGAGAATAATTTTAACACAAAATTATTTCTATCAAAATTATAAATTGCATATGAGCATATAACACTAGCTCTCTTTATAGTTATAAAATCTAACATGGTATAACTCTCTGAAAAAGTGAGGTCTATTACTGTTTTTCGGATTATTTTCTTGCATATTTCCAATGAATTTTAAGAAAAATGTGTCCATTATAGTTACTCTGTTTGTGTCCATCTGCCCGTTTATTCGGCTGCTTACAAAACTTTTAAACTGTTTAACATAAATGATAATAAGATTTTTTAATTTTTATCACTTTATCCTAAATTTATGCAATACTTTATGATAACGAGAGAAATATTTTTACCTGTATTCGATACCCAGACCTCAAAATCTATAGAAATACGATATTGTTTACCTTTAGAGAAATAATGTAAGCCTAAACGACGCGTGAGAAAGTTATGTTTTTCTTTATATTATTTATTAACCGTTACATCTGATGTTTTCTTCTCTTCTCTTTAGTAATTCTGGTTGTTGTTTAATTTTAATAAAGGACAATTGCAATTTTTATTTGGTAAGAGGGAAAATATAATTTATTCCTCGAAACAACGACGTTTATCTTTTTCCTCAGTACCTTTAGAAAAAAATTTACTTCTTGGGGGTTATAATTTAACTTTAGCAGGTAGGATATAATCAAATAAATCTAGTTCAACAAACATCTATATTGTTACTTTTGGCCATCAAAAATACGAAGGATGATAAAGCCAAAATCTGATAAATGCTGAAAGCTTCATGCGGATAGCACAAAGTTGAGCTCTGCCCCTCTTGTATATAATTTAATAAAAAGGAAATGGGCAATATTACAAAAAGAGAAAATGGCTTGATCGACCACATTTTTTGTATAAAATTTCATATTTCATTTAATAGAGTTAATATTTTGAAGAAAGCCACATGAAATGTCTGCAAAAGAAACATAAGAACAGTTTATCTAATAATTTATTATATAAAAATTATAATTAATAAGAAAATGTAATAAAAATTCTTAGACAATTTCTCGCATATACATAAAAGAAGTTTTTAACTTTCATATGTACTGCCTCTTTCGTATTTAATAGAAATGACTTGATATATATATTTCTAGAAAGTAATTAAAGAAACAAAATTTTAGAAGTAAATTTATGTTCCTTCTCCCAAACTTTACTTACTTAGACCTCTAAACTTCGTCCTCTTAGCATTTCCATTTAAAACCGAAATTTTTTCACATTATTTGGCATACACTTTTTACAGTATTTCACTTTCTCGGCATGAAATAATGATTAACTAAATCTTGTCCAAAATATTTTTCTACGAAATTTTAAGAAAAACATGGAAATAAAATTTGAGTAAGTATGTAAGGAAAATGTTGTGTTGAAGTGTTGCGTTAATTCTTTTTTCAACCTTTGCCTCCTTCGCTTTTTCAACATAATTTTTACCGTAAATTTTCCAGCTCAGTCTTCAATAATTTGGAATCGCTTTTTGGGTATTGGTAAAATAACAACCATATTTTAACCACTTCTGTGTAAAATTTTTATTTTACTGAAGAAAAAAAAATTAAAAAGAAATTGATAAAAACAGAGTTATGTTCGAAGTATGTATGAACAGAACATATAGATGCGCCTCTTTAAAAAGAAAAAATAACTGGTTCTTAGAACTACGCTTTTATCCAGGCTCAATTTTAAATTTCATTCAATTTTTAATGAAAACCCTGTAGATAACTATTATGATAAGATAATGTAATCTTTCAACTGAAATTATGGAAGTATGGATTTTTTAAATAATCTAAAAATGGTTGCTAAAATGAAAACAAAAATAGAAGAATCTAAATTTATTATACCCTGCACTTTTTGAAGGGTATATTCACTTTGGTATGGAGTTTGTAACCACTTTAAGGAATCATTTCCGATATGGACAAATGTATATATTCTTGGTCAGCGTAAAATTTTGCGATAATTTAGACATATCCGCCCGATCGCACAATATCTCAAAAATGAATAAAGCAATCGGAACCAAACATTCACAAGTTGTTTATTTTGCACAAACGACGACTACTTTTGTAATTGAGCCAATTCGGACAACGGGTAACTGTCAGACAACTCCAAAAGCTAATTTAAAATATTTTTAAAAATAACAAAGCTAGATTCATGAAACTTGGCAGTCGTGTGTCCTATTTCAGTCCACACATATCCCTGAAGTTCTTATGGAATGGCCTAACAGGTTTAAGTTGCTGCTATGAAACTACAAAAGCTAATTTAAAATATTCAAAAAAGTAACAAAGCTAGATTCATGAAACTTGGCAATTGTGTGTCCAATTATAGTTCACACATATTCATGCAGTTTCTATAATGTGGTTTGTCAATGTCGAATACTTGGTATATAACAATAAGAGCTAATTCTAGATATTTCAAAAACAAATTTTAAACTCATATTGCTAATGTGCAGGGTATAATTCGGTTGGTTTATACCGACTGAAATTTTTTACTTGTTTTTATCAAATTTTTTGAAAAGACTGCAGCTTATATAGTACTTATATTATAACTACATAAGTACTTTATAAGCTACAGAAATCAAATGCGCATTGCAATTTCTATTTAGTACTGATCCCTCAGGTAAAGTTAATATTTCCTATGCAACCGTTTTCCTTATGATCATATGTATTATGTTGAAGCTAAGAGAAACTATGACTTACTAAGAAACACAAGAAAAATTATTTGCACAGACAATAGTAGAATCATGATCACAAAGGAAAAACGATTTATCACAGTTTCAAAAAAATATTTTTTTTCTGTAGAATTGTAATCTTATAAAATATATAAAAATTCTAAAATATTTAGATATATTAATTAATCAAGAACAAAAATTTTGAATTATTATTGAAAAGTTATGCTTATTTTACAGGATTGCCGTTCAAAAATTATGTTAATCATGATTCAGTTTTATCAGAGAAACGAAAACAACGTAGAATACGTACAACATTTACATCGATTCAATTAAAAGAATTAGAAAGGGCTTTTCAGGAAACACATTATCCAGATATTTACACTAGGGAAGAAATAGCTATGAAAATAGATTTAACTGAAGCAAGAGTTCAGGTAAGTTTAAATTGATGGTAACGTACTTTATAATTTATAATTAGAAAAACAAATTTTACTCACACTTTTCCAAACATATTTTCCGTCGTCGGTGAAAATTACTAAAAGTTGAAATAACTATCATTAATATTAATAAGGACAAGCTTTTTAAAATTAGGAATTTGAAAGTTAGGTTAAAAGCAATCATTTAGTGCTTGCAATATTTCATAAGGAACATTTTTTTTATTCATTCATACTTATATGAAAGAGATGTCACCGGAAGAGTTTAATGCGCGATATGTCATAAAATACGAAGAGTTTAATATGTAACCAGTATGCAGTAGCCAAAAAAGTTGGTTTCAGGTACGCATTTTGTTTCTCACAATTTTTGTTGCCAATTGAATGAGTGAGCATCACAAATTTTAATAATGCAGTCGAAAAAAATGTTTGTCGTATTATATTGCATATTGGGAAATGATATACTGAATTAGACTATTATTAATTTAAGACCATAAAAATTGGAACAATTTGTTATTTCATTCTCATAACAACTTACTTTTCTATTATATGTGCAATACTTGATACTTACTACATTTAATACATTATATGCTCTGCAAAAATTGTTACCCTTACTTACATTGCAGATAAAATATGCTTTAAATAAAAAATATTTTATGAATTATAAAATATGCCTATATAAAATTAGGAATAAAATATGATGTCAGAGTTCAATTTCGACTGACCGACCGCAAGTTATATCAGTAGACGTACACGAGCGAAATCTTAAAAATGCATGTGATAACTAAATACAAAATTTAGTTTGTTAAACAAAATGTTTAAACAAATGAAATTTTCTAAATTTTTATTCAAGTAAATCGAATGATAAAAAAATTTTAGTTATTTTTAGAACATTTTTGAAAGTTACCAAATATATGCATTTGGTTATTTCGGTAATTTAATTTTAGTTTCTATTCACGCTTAACATTATGAATTTTTATCTGTGAACATTGTAACCGCATTTGAGATAAGAGCATTAAACAATTTTCAATAAAGAAAGTTGGATAAAACCAATGGTTTGTAAAGAAGCACTTTTTCCTTAAACAAGTACAAATTGTTTTTTTAAAAACAATCTATTACATTATTTAAAATACTGCAATTAATATATCAAATAATATTAAATATTGCATATATTTAGGATGAGCAAAAAAAAAATTGAATCCAAGTGGTTGAACTCGAATATGTACGTGGTTAAAATAAATAATTACATACATTTGTGATGACATGGCATTTACTGTTCATAGATCTTGAGGAGTTGTAACTTTTGGAGGGATGAGGGTGAGATATAGGAAAAAATTTCTTCCACCAGTACAAATAAGTTTCCAGTACAAATCTTTTGGACACATACGGGCATACGGACGGACAGAGTGGAATTAATATTTTTTTTAAAATGTGCTAAAAGTGAAAGAAAATCATTGAATTTAAACCTAATTTTTATTTACATGTATGTATTCCTAGTATAAAATTTTCATGTTTCCTATATCGCACCTATATGGGAATATTTGGGAGATTCTGGAATTATTATTAAAATATGTAGAATAAGATAGATAAAGAATATCAAGCCAATTCAGAGACTTAAACTCTGTTAGAAATTATTAAAATTTCAATTAGTATGGTAAACAAAGCATAGTCAAAGTTTTAACTATAACTTATCCAATAATACTTCGTTGTTAAGTTACACAAATAGTCTACATTTTTTATTAGCTCGAGAATAATAATAGTGTATATGGAAGATATCCAAATTTTTTGCTTAATTATCCTAGAATGCATGAAATAATTTTTGGTTGACAGTACCAAAATATTGTCACTGCGTTACAACATTCCTGTTCTAAAGATTTTAAAACGTGAATTCAAGTAGTTCTATAACTAACTATTTTTTCAAAAGCTGAAAATTCTAATGAAAATGCCATATATAGAAAAATTTTCGACAGCACAATCCCAAATATTCCTATTCAAATTAATTTAGTACCACCGCCGGTTAAAGACAATAATTGAAAATTTTAAAAGTTGTCTACTGTTATCTATGCGGCAATGAATTTTAGATCAGTTTAAAAATTTTGAGCTGTAGAACATGCTGCTAAGATTCATGTACAACGCTAAAGAATTAAAGAATCGCCGCTTTGCAAAATTCTGTTCTTAACCCTTATAACTAATTGTAAAGGACTTATGAATTTTAAATACTTACGACTATTTGTCGTAATTTCAATTATTAAATTAATTTTTTTTTTATCTGCCATAAAAATTGTTTCGAAATTTTGAAAATTTTTCTCTAAATCAAAATTGTTGTATGTGTAGGCATTATTTCATTTCCTCCTGTTCTATATGTCTTTGATTTCACTAAGTGCCATTTGACATTTTTACGCAATCTGCTAATTATTGACGTGACAGTTCTCATTTTTACTTGACATTTCCATGTTTAACATCAAATTATAATACATAAAATAATAATAAAAAAATTGAAACATAATAAAATGTCAACTTTTTGTTTAATACTCTGAAATTTCAATGAAAATTTTCGGTTCCTTTTGTTTGCAAGTAGAACAATTTTTTAAAGAACATTAGAATTATAAATGAATTTAAAAAGTTAAATGTGAATTTTTAACAAAATAAAAGATTTTCTTAAAATTTTTAATATAAATTGGATGGAATGGGGTGCAGGGGGTTGAGGTACATGATAATCCTTTATTACAATCAATATAACAGCACCAGATTTACAATTATCTGAACAAAAAATTTAAAGTTTACTTTATTAATGAAGTCATTCATGAGATGCGCTTTTGTACATAATTTTCTTTAAATATTGATAATCCTTGAATACCTTGAAGCTGTATAAATTTTTATTTTTATTTAGTATTCAGTATACATACAATACATATATACATATGAATATAAAACAGGACATGCATTTAGAAATGTGCTTATAAATTTGAGTAGCATACTTTGTTTATTTGCCAAAATTATTTTCAATGAAATCAAACAAAAAATTAAAAAAAAAAACATTTTACTAATTAAATGTTATTTGGTTCTTTTTAAAATGTTATTTTTGTTGATTTTTAATTTAAGCAAAAAAAAAAAACCAGAGCAGAACGACTTGTAATAAATTTTCCTCATATTTTATGATTTTTATTTTTTTTTTTTATAGAATTGTCATAGACAATTTTGTTCCTTGTATATGCATGCAATTTTTAATGTCAACAAAATGGGGAAATGAATTGTGACAGATGTAAAAACATTAATCCGTTCCAATCATTTAACACTATATGTATACTAATATGTAGCTGGTCTATAGAGAAAATATTATTTTGTATATTTATCACATTATTTACTATTTACTAACAATTATGGACGCACGTTTACAATGCATTTAAAAAGAAGAAAAAAAAAGAAGAATTTAATTCAAGTTGAATTTTTCAGATGACGGTGATAAGATAAATCATTTCTACACACATATATATACATTAGACTGTATGCAAGTGTGTGCAATGTATATGTGCAGATATCGGGCAAAAGTACTTTAAGCATCGAAATGAACAGTAAAAAAAATTAAAATGACAACACGATTGAACTTTCAAAAAAAATTATTTTATGTATAACGATATGAATGAATATTTGAGGGGTGTTATAGATTTTCAATACTTTTCGTAACACCAAGAAATATTCCAGAAGTTATTTAAATTATATTTCTCGCAGCGGTACGAATATTTAGAATTACCATACAGTTTTAAAACAAATTTTACCTTTTATCCCAGCAATTTTAGTGACTACAACAGTTCTCTTAGTTTAGAGCGAGTTTGCCAATACAGTAACTTTAAACAAATAATGTTTGTGCGAAATTGCATGATTATGATTTAAAATTTGATGAAATTTTATTGATTTGACCTAAATTTTCGTGAGATTTGAAAGAAAGTAGGAGGGGGCTCATAAAAAATTGAAAAAAACGGCAAGGACTCTACGAGAGAAAAAAGTTTGGGAACCTATGCTCTTCCAACTATTTCTATACTCCTTATATATAATTTGTTCATTAGTTTTTGTTTGTACATGATGGACATTGGAAGTATGGGATGAATTAATTAATCTACGTGAAATTCTGAGTTTTATTAAATTTATATATTTTTGGGTAAATCACAATTTTGAAAGTTGATCAAAATTTGAAAATTAAATGATCCGCTAAAATGCCACGGCCGAAGAGTGCGATGGATCTTGAAAATATTTTTTTTTTTAATTAAAAATGAAATAAAATTTAAAATTACGAATTAAGTCGAAAATTCGGGACATTAAGTGTACATATGTATTACAATATTTCATTTACGGTTAATAATTAATTTCTTGAATGAGAAAATAAATTAACGTGGACCAATAATTTTCCTCTTAAATTTTTTTATTAATATAAGTACTAAATTACATGGCTAAAATTGTAGACGTTGGAATGTTATAAGCACTTAATGCTATTGTACAGTTACAGTACTTGTTAACTTAATAAACAACTGCACATCATATTTCATGCTGCAGAACAAAGCACACATATAGCAGTATCCTTCACAAAATATACGACGAAGTCATGCAAATTATAAGCTATTTATATAAACACGTACATCGTACTTCATAATGGTTTATTGTCACCCACTCTATCTACAATTTTTAAACAACATCTACAGAATCACTTTCATAATGCATGTATATTTCATACATTAAGTAATGCGTACATGAAAAATTAAAAATAAATATAAAAAAAAAAATACCAGCCATAGAAAATAATAAAAACAAATTTTTCACATCCCTCAATTAACACTTGCTATTTCTTTGTTTTTTTTTGTTCTATTTTGTTCTGTTTTGTTACCTAAAATAATATTATTTCTGATCATTTAGATTCTTTATATTATCCTGTAAACAAAATTCTTATTATTTACTTCTATTTACGTATGCATGTACATATTTATACACACAGTGGCTTTATTCTTACTTTT